TTTTCTTTTCTCTTCGTTAGGCCTCCACAAGCTGCCTCTGCCTGTGACCCGGTCTTACCAACCGAACAAGCTCAGCTAAAATAAGAGTTGCGTCTGGATTGAGCTTGGCATTGACTATGGATGGACCTTTCTGAGTTTGTGCTCGTGTTCTGAGCCAATCAGTGAAGGGGGAGGAGGTCAGGAACTTCCTTCTTCTGATCCTTGTTTTGACTGACATCCTGACAGGACCGTGAAATGAAGAAGTCACGTCCTTCAGTCGCATGGCCTCTTGTTCCTGCCTCCCAGAAGCCTGAGGAACGACAGGCTTCAGTACAAAAAAGGCCTTTGAGACTTCTATTACGGTGCTTTTCTGGCAAGAGCAAGAGAATGTGCAGTTCACTAAAAGAAAAACAATCAAAGGCAGCAGAAGTAGGTTATGAAGAGGACAAAGAACTGAGACCAATAAATAAAATGAGCTGCTGGACTAATTTTTAGGGGGCAAGATGAAAGTTCAGCCTGCTGGAGATAGAGCTTGTGTTCCTTATCATGTTAAGAGATGCTGCCATTCTCTATCATTGGGGGCTTTCCCCTTCCCTTTTGTTTACATGTGTCTTAAAATTCATACCTACCCTGGCCTCCTTTCTCTCACAAAATCCTGTGGTCCAAAGAGGCCAAGTTCTGAGTGGTTTTTTAAACTCGGTTTCGTACCTCACTCAAGTGCAATATAAGTTGGCATTATTGGGCCACGTATTCCATTCAGCAGCCAACTTTGTATGTTTGTGTGTATGTGTGCGAAGGAGGATTGTTTGAGTTTTGAGCGTGTGTGTCATTCAGAATGACTACTGTAACGCGTTATGCTTTGCTCTTTCATAGCAATAGGTTTCCACATAGGATCCAGTCAGTTTTTCCTTGATGAATTTTTTCGGTTTAGCCCAGCCAGGAAGAAACCACTGCCATACCATTATGGGGCAGCCAATCTTCTGAGTCCAAAGCTCAAATATCAAGAATATTCATACAGCCTCTCTGTCTTCTTCTCATTCATGTCCGCTTTGGGGTAGTAAATTCCTCACTGAGTGGACTTCATAAACACTTTGCCTAATTTTCCCATTCAGATTTTAGGAAGGGCATCCCAGAGGCATTGTTCAGTTCTCGTAACAGGCCAGTTAGTTCCCATTATTGGTAAATATTGGATGCTTCAGGAATATATGGATATTTATGCAATATGGTAGAGAAAACTGTATTTTTCCTCCCCCAGCTATTCATAATTGTTTGAGGTCTTTTTTTATTAATGTCGGGGCCATGGAATGTCACCCCTGCTCCAGAAGTTTTCAGCTTTTTTTGCGTGACTGGCATTCTAGCCTCATGTCTGTATCTACTGTGAATGCTTCCACTGGAAGTCTCTCAGTCCTTGGATGCTGGACCAGATGCCCTCTTATATTCAGCTTTCGTGAAATAACACGAAGCTCGATCCTTCATTTTGTGGTGAAAAACTAAGCAGGTTGGCTACAAATGGGAAGATGGCCATCAGATGGGCCAGCATTGAACAGAAGGGTTCAATCATCATCATGTGGTCTGACTTGCAAGCATGCTTTTTTCCAGCATCAAAGCTCCTGTTGTAGATAGGTAGGGTTAGCGAGCCTCACAGCTGCCTTGTCTATCGTTGCAGCATATCCCTTTGTGCATAATTGAGAGGACTGAAGATTACATTGTGATGACAGTGAGGCACTTGTCTCCATAGATGTTAAAGCTGGCGCTGAAAAAAGTTCAGTGTTTCAAATTCTGCATTCTCCACAGATCCACTTTTAACCTTGCCCAAAGAGATACCTTCAGATATGGATGTCCTGCATTTCCCAGAATTTTCAAGCAACATATTCAAAAGCTCTGCGGGCTATGAATTTAGGACTTGCAGTCACAATCAGCCAGAGGATCCCGGGTTGAATTAAAAGTGGCCTAAATTTGGATAGGAAAAAACTGTGTTAAACTTATCTGTTGCAGGAAAATACTATAATGTTAAACTTCAGCTCAGACAGGACCAACTGTCTTGTTATGTAGTGAATGTCTGGTCTTATTATATGGGACACCTAGCTGTGTAAGCAATAAATTGTTGTGTTTTTTTTTTACAAAATTCTTTCTCTAGATGTTTCCTTTATATTGTGGGAAATTGGAGAAAGATAATATTCTGCTACCTTAGTAGATAATACAAATAACAGGACTCGATATATCTGCTGAAGGGATAGAGGTCATATTTTGCTCTGGGCTATAATTTGTTGTTTCAACCATTATTAGCTAGGCTCATATAAATCATGGCTAGGTTTGTATATCACTGTTTCAGCCACTCCAAACTTTTACATGGTTTGATATAGATGTGAAACATTCTGTACTTGGTTCCTCTGCCAATCAAATTAAGTCAAAGCTGTTTTCATTTGAGCTACATGATGCAAATCAGATTATTTTTTTGTTGCAAAATGGGAATTTTAATATTTTGGGAGTGGAGGAAACATTTTGTTTTTGAAACAACTACACTCCTGCATCATGCTTAGACATAATGGGGTGACAACGTTTTAGCTAATATGATTTGTCAACTGTGTTTCACAACCTAGTGTTAGAAGATAGCTCACTCTGGAGATTTATGCAATCAATTTGGCACAATATATGAATTGAATCAGGTCGAAGAAGAAAACTGGGTTAATGAAGGGACTTGAAAGGACAAGCCCAACCTGGTGGTCCTAAGTAATTGAATTAGAATTACAGTTGTTATCATTCCAAGCCTAATCTTCAAGTACAGATCAACTTTTTCTCTAGGCCCCAAATAGCACATCCACAACCTATCAAATTTGAAGTTAGAAAGAAGGGAAGAGGTAAGACTAAGACAAAAAAAAAATCTGTTATGAGAATGCTAATTAGGTGACCTTTCTTGATAAGCTTTAGGAGAGTGGATGACGGCTTTTTGTGATGGGAAGACGGAACCCAAGATTTAAGCTCGCATTTTGTATCCATGTATGTTTATATCTGTATTTACAGGTAGTCCTTGTACCTTATAAGCTTATAACCATTTGTTTAGCAACCAGGGCCATGTGATTGCTATTTGCAACCTTCCTTGCTGGCTGCAACTACACTCCTACATCGTGCTTGGCCATAATGGAGTGATAACATTTTAGGTAATACGATTTGTCAACTGTGTTTCACAAGCAAAGTCAATGGGGGAAGCCAGATTTGCTTAACAACTGCTTGATTCTCTTAACTCTAGTTATTTGCTGACCTGTGGCAAAAACTTGGGTGCAATTCACTTAATAACCATCTTGCTTAGCAGTGGAAATTCTGTTCCCACTTGTCATAAGTTGAGGACTACCGTGTTTCCCCGAAAATAAGACCCTGTCTTATATTTTTTTCAACCCTGAAATAAGCACTTGGCCTTATTGCCATGCGCTTAAAAGCCCAATTGGGCTTATTATCAGGGGATGTCTTATTTTGGGGGAAACAGGGTACCTATATTCCAGCTAAGTCCTAGACTTCCAAAAAGCGCACCAAGTACAGGGGAAATTATTGCACGCATCGGCCTTGACACCAGGCCCCCTTAATTCCATTCTGCTTCATCACCTTAGAAAGGGAAGGAAGCAATCATTATTTAGACTCTTGTTATGAATGCCTTGCAGCAGAGGCCTAATTCAAGAAACTGATGGATTGGTGAGGTACCAAAGGTCGACCTTCCTCCTCCTTTCTCTGCAGGGACATAATTGAGGGTGAGGCCTTGGCAGTAAAAATCCTTCCTTCCTCTTCCCCCACCTTGAGTCTGGTCACTGAGGAAAAATAAGTTCTGGAAATGATCCGGTTTTTTAGTTTTAATGCGAGTCAACCTACCACCTGAAGCAAAACCAGGGAAAGGGAACATCCAGGGAAAGTACTGCTGAAGAAGCAACTTTTAAAACAATCATTTTGACACCCGAGGGCCAATTTCAGCAATCATCCAAGAAAGCTGGAAAAGAGATTTCTCCTCTTTGGTCATATCTCTAGGGCCAGGAAAGTCTCAAGCTCATTGCTCTCTGCTCAGAAGGAAAAAAAAGGGCAGTTTCGGGCAAGGATATTTTGCTTTCTAGTTATTTATTTTCTTGTATCCTGGAACGCAGGAAACCATGCTGAAAGTGCAGGAAACCCAAGCGGCTCTGTTTGATGACTTTCAGCCTAGTGACCTACAGACCTATTTCCCCTGAAGAAAACCGGCGGGGGGTGGGTGTGTGTGTGGTAGGGTTGCCAGGTCTGCTTCCAAATAATAGCGGACAAGTGGGGGTGGGTGGGTGGGTTAAGTAGTAAAAAAATAATTAAAAAATTACAATTAAATTATATATTTTCTTACAAACATTTTAACACGTATTAAAATAATCACTTCAAAACTTTACTTAAAATTCAAAACATCAAATATAATACGTAAAATATTAAATTACATTTTAATTTCATCATAAAGCTTTTGAATAAAAAAAATGTCCACTATTTTGTGAAAAAAAATTGTGAACATAATGTGAAAAAAGTGGACTGTCCGCTCAAATAGTGGACACCTGGCAACACTAGGGTGGTGGAGAGACAATCTTAAAACAAAGAGGGCCAGAGGTGCGTTGACTTGCAGGGTAGCTTAAAGAATGCTGGAACCGAAGCGGGGAGAGAGAAAAGGACTCCGAAAGTGAAATCTCACTCCGAAAACACCATTTCATTAGCCGCACGACCCTCCCCCCACAAACACCTCCCCAGCTTTTTCCCCCTACAAGGTAAGTCGCGGGATCCCCGGCCTGCCCAGTAGGGGGCGCCAAGGTGCAAGCTGGCACAGCCAAGAGGCGGCTGTCTGCTTCCGAGGTTGGGCAGGGAGGTGGCGGCTGAATCCCCGCCGCGGGAATTGCGCGCTAGGTTGGTATCCTTAGGGTGCGCCTCCCTCCCTCCGGGAATCGGCCCCTGCCGCTTAAGGGAGAGAGGCGGCCCCGGGAAGGATGTGGCCGGCACAGCAACTCTTGGGGGCCGGACTTCAAGGCGGAGCCGGGCAGCAGGAGCAACGTTTCCCCGCCGCCCGTAACGAGAAGGGTGGCATCGCTCGCCTCCGCGTCTGGGGCTCCCTGTCGCCCGGTAGCCAGCCATTGGGCAAGGAGGCTCCGCGATGGCTTTGGGCAGGGAGAGACGCCAGGGGGCAGGAAGAGCCGGGCTGGTCTCTGGAAAGCGCTGGGAGCTGGGGTGGCGGCTTTGAAAGGGCCACTGTGTCTTGGCACGGGGAGGGGCCAGAATCGCGTATGGGGGCCAGGCAGTGGCACTGCGGGAGGAGACGCAGGGCACAGAGAGACCTTCCTGCCAGCAGCGGGCTCCTGAAGGGATGGGAGTGCGGAGGAATCCCCTCGGCTTCCCAGCAGCCTGGTCAGGGTGATGCTCACCCCAGCTGACTGCGCTCCTGGAGACCAGCGGAGACTGAGGAGAGGGCCAGCTAGGCTGGCATCTGGCTGAGATGGCTTGGCGCAGGCTTACCCTGGTCAACCTGCTTGGGCTTTGCTTGACCAGCTGCCTCCTGTGCCCTGCTCAGGGCTGTGGCCCAGGCAGGGGACCGGTGGGACGGAAGCAGTCCAGCCGCAGAAGCCTGGCCCCGCTGCAGTACAAGCAGTTTGTGCCCAACCTGGCGGAACAGACTCTGGGGGCCAGTGGCAAAGCCGAGGGCAAAATCAGCCGCCACTCGGAGCGCTTCAAGGTCCTGGTGCCCAACTACAACCCTGACATCATCTTTAAGGATGAAGAGAATACAGGTGCTGACCGGTTGATGACAGAGGTGGGTGCTCCTCGGGGGCAAGGGTGGTGCCTGGCTGCCCCAAGGCCCTGCAAAGCTTGGTGCAGCCCTGGCACGTGTGAGGCAGCAACAAAGCAGACTGTGACTCTGAGCATAGGATGACAGCCTCTCCTTTTAACTCTTGAGTAACCTGAGCAAGTGCACCCAACAGATCAGAGGATTTAACAGGTCTGCAGCCTTGGGCCCAAGTACTTCCCTTTATACACGTTAGCCCCTGGGCTTTTCCCTCTACCAGGTTGCTGGTCTTAAATGATAAAATGTTATCACTCTGGGTTTCTTTAGGCTTTGATCTGGGAATAGCTCCTTACAGAATGAGACTAAACCTGCAGGTCTAGACAGAGCCATCTCAGGGAGCTATTGCTAATTTCAGGAGGTTTCTTCAGTTCAGAGACGTTCTGAGATGCTGTGGATTTAATTTTCTGTGGGGGGAGGTTGTCTTGGTCTTTATGGTTGGGGGCAGAACAGAATTGGCAAACAAGCACCAGTAGGAAATTTCTAGGCTAATCCCAGGAGAAATGCGCCTACCAAATTTTATTATAGTGCCTAGCTAACATTTCCCATATCAGAGAAAGAGAAAGCGCTGCAGGACTCCATCAGCCCCTTCGTACTGCAAATAGCCTGTTTGTTCTTTCTGTTTTCTCAAGTCTTTAAAACAGACCTTCTTTGAGACATTTTGATACCAAAGCAAGAAATGCCACTACAATGACCAATCTTGTGTATGCACTTATAAAATGCTGGCATTGGCATTTCTTTTTAAAATGTCTCCTGTGTTTTGCTGTGCAGTTACAACATCTACTTAGGCTTCAGAGTATCACAGAAACTCAAAGGTACTTCAGTATTTTGTTGGAAAATGGCCAAATGCTTGCTTGGGTAGAAAAATGCTTGCCCTGAAGTGGACCAAACCATTGTCAATTGGATTTTAATTTGTTATTCAAGTGCACATAAACTTTTCTGAGGAGTACTGCATCGTTGCAATTCTTAATTCTTTAGTTTAATTATTAGTGTAATTTGCAGTGGCATGTTATGTTGTCTTGAACATTTTAAATGGGAAAAAAAGGGAAAACATTATATATAACTAATTATCTGTGTGAGGGAAACAATGTTGCTTTAGTGTTCTTTAGGGAGAAAGAACAGCCCTTATTAATTCTGCAAAAAGAGGAGGAATCTTATGGAAGAGTTACATTTATTATCTTAACCAGCTTTCTTGGATCACAACCCACTGCATGAAATGTACAGAAAATAAAACTGTGCAAGGATTATATACACACATTGTGTGTTGTGGGGGAGAGGGAGAAGAAAAAAAAAGAATTGCTTCAGAACTGCCCAAATGCAATTAACAGTTACATGTGAGCCAAACATTAAGTTAGTTAATATACATCAAGTGACATGTTAGGCCAAAAGTAATTTAAAAAAAGCTAAGGCTGGTCCGTTTAGAAACAAATAATTAGGAATACCTCCAGGACCTCAAAAGTACCAGAAAAAGGAGCAACACATTAACAAGGACTCTGTAAACCACTTAGAGAGGGCTGCAAAGCACTGTGAAGCGGTATATAAATCGAAGTGCTATTGAAGTGCTATTGAAAGTCATTCCAAGCCTGAAATGAACATTTCTGAAGATCTGAATGGAGATCACAATCATTGTATAGTATGATCAATTAACTCGTAATGCAGGTGAGGAAGGTGATTGGTTTTGCCAGCCTCCAAATCTAAAACAGATTATAAGGAATTAAATTTTAGCCAAAGGTGGTTGAAGGATTGTTTTCTACTGTAAAGGAAAGAATTAGTAATTTTAATCCTCCTGCAGTAGGTTATTTCTAAACATATGTAAATATTTCTAGCAATGAGTAGAAGTTCCTCACAAGGTGAGCCATCTTGGAATTAAAATGGGATTTCCTGACAGTGAGAGCAATGGACAGCTTACCTCACAGAGTTGTAGGTGATCCATTGCTGGAAGTTCAGGATGGTGTAAGGATTCCTGCCTTGGGCAGGAGTGTTGGACAAGAAGATCTCCGAGATCCCTTCCAGCCCTATGATTCTATGATTTTTGGCTTAGAAATCCTCCACCTCTATCTGGGTTCCCTGAAAAAGCCCTCATCCTTTCTTGGGGTCATGAGGCTGTTTACGCAATAGACTCTAACCTCAGTTTTTCCCTTTGCTAAATATGCCTCTTTTTATTTGTTTCTTTACTTGCTCTCTCTCTCTCTCTCTCTCTTTGGTCTCTGAATGTTCTTCCTGCTCCATCCTGTGAAATAGGAATGTAAGTGACTTCAAAACCATCTCCATTTCTTAATCTAAAAGATTCAGATTACCAGAAGGTCATCAGAAGCTATTATACAATGGTCATAATGACTCGCTAATTGATGGATGACTTATTCTTGGTTTCTTCACTCCATTTTTACTGATCATCTGATACATTGAACCATACATTAAGGCATGGGCAGGATTTGCACAGCCTGCTAGGAGAAAGTGTGGTTAGCTACTTTTGTAGTTCAGTAGTTGGAGCCCTACTGGGAAAAAAAAAATCCTTCTCCCCCACTTCAAAGGCATTATTTGAAGTGCCTACAAGGCCAAAACCAATAGTGAAAAGTAAGTGCTAATTCCCAGAACCAAAGGCAGATTATCCATTGATGGGTAGGAAGAATCCTGATGTTGGGGATGCCATTACGCAGAGAAAGAGAAGAATCTATTGGCAAATGAAGCTGGCTTCTCCCCAGCAGATCTAATGCCTGGGATCCTTTGATTATAATCCATCCTTTTATGTTGAGCTGGGAAGGATTCTGGTCAATGTTTCCCGTTATCTGTAGTCAAGGCGTGGTTGGAGGTCCACTTCATAGAGATGCATGCGTGCTATCACAGCAGTATTGGCTTTGTTTATTCTGGTAAAGCAAATTTTACTCTTGTCCTCAACTTACGACCGTTTGTTCAGCAACTGTTCAAAATTACGATGCTGAAAGAAGGGATTTATGACTGGTGCTCAAAGTTATAGCCATTGCAGCACCTCTGCGGCTATGTGATTGTGATCTGGGCTCTTGGCAACCCACTCAGGCTTAGGACAGGTTGGCCAAGCCCTCCACGATCATGTGATTTGCAATCTTCCCTGATGGTTTGCTAAGAAAGTCAACAGGGAAGATTGCAAGCCATCTTGTTTCTCTGTGCAGTGTGCCATCTCCCCACTCTGCCCTATGCTTCTCTTTAGTGGTGAAATCCAAATTTTTTTACTACCGGTTCTGTAGGCGTGGCTTGGTGGACATGGTGTGGCTTGGTGGGCATGGCGGGGGAAGGTTACTGCAAAATCTCCATTCCCACCCCACTCTGGGGCCAGCCAGAGGTGGCATTTGCCGGTTCTCTGAACTACTCAAATTTCCGCTACTGGTTCTCCGAACTGCTCAAAACGTCCGCTACCAGTTCTCCAGAACCTGTCAGAACCTGCTGGATTTCATTCCTGCTTCTCTCCAGCCTAGGGAAGACAGGGCAGCTAGAGAGAAAGACTAATTTTCTAGTGCACGGTGGGAGGGGAGCCGATGTGCTGGGCTGGAAGAAGGAAGCTGTGACCCACCACGTTGGTTCGGTGCACTGAGGGGAACTGCCTGCTTTCTTTCGGTAGGCAGTTCCTTTGTTCCGTTCTTTTAATAACATGTGCAATCGCTTAGTGGCCACATATGAGAGGGCTGGGACAGCGATCATTGAATGAGGCAATCATATGAATGTCTCCCTTAATGATTGCAACCATTTAACGACTATGATGGGCAGATTCCATTATGATCATAACTCAAGGGTCACCTGGACTCTGTATATACAATTTTAAAAAGGAGCCTATCCCAGGGGTGAAATGCTCCCGGTTCGGACCGGATCGCCCGGTTCGGACCGGATCACCCGATCCGGTAACAATGGCGGTGGGTGGTTCGGAGAACCAGTAGCAAAAAATCCCTGCGGGCCCCCCATCCCCCATCATGCCCAGCTGAGCTGCACGATCATCAAAAGCTTTTTTTTTTTTTTTACTTTTAAAAGCATTTTTTCGTAGGAAGTGGGTGGAAAAAAAATGTTTTAAAAAGTAAAAAAAAAAAAAGCCTCTGATGATCATGCGGCTCAGCTGGGATCGTCAGAGGCTTTTCAAAGCTTTTTTTTAAAAAGCCTCTCTGACGATCCCAGCTGAGTTGCCTGATCGGCAGAGGCTTTTCAAAGCATTAGAAAAAATGCTTTGAAAAGTTTTTTTTTTTTTTTACGTTGGGCCCGCCCCCGCAGTCACATTCCCCCCCCCCCCAAGCCACACCCACAGAACCGGTAGTAACAAATTTTACATTTCACCCCTGGCCTATCCCCAGGCTTAATATACAAAAGAGAAAAGTTATGGGAGGGAAGAGGAAAAATATCAAATTCAGATATATATTATAATGTTTAAAAAAGGAGTATTTTAATCATGGGCTGGAATATCTGATATAATTCTGGAAGAGGATGGTCCTTCTGGAGGCTGATGGAGGGCCCTGCCTCCCATCTCATCTGCATCATCTAGTGTGACAAATTGGCTGCTGTCTGATGAGGGTTGCGTAAACAGCCTCATGGCTCAGGTTGTCCCCCAAGAAAAGATTAAGGCTTTATCAGGGGACCCAGGAAGAGGTGGAGGACTTCTGAGCCAGAAATCATAGAATCATAGGGCTGGAAGGGATCTTGGAGTCTTCTTGTCCAACACCTGCCCAAGGCAGAAATCTTTATGCCATCTTGAACTTCCAGTAATGGAGCACCTACAACTCTGGGTGGCAAACTGTCCATAGATTAATTACTCTCACTTGTTGGATTTCCTTGTGAGGAGCTTCCACTCATTACTAGAAATAACCTACTGCAGGAGGATTAAAATTATTAATTCTAATAAATGAATTGATTGAGGCTGGGATTTGAATGGGTGGATGGGAAATTCCTATTTAGTCTTAGATACATTGATCTGTTATAGACGGAGCATTCTGAAGTGCCCTCATTTTTTTTCTTTT